TTTAATGTCCAGAAACAAACTAGTTTATAGCCCAAAAAAGAGACTGAGAAAATCCTTGCACTGAAATCAACAGCAAYGGTCTGTTTGTCTTCCTTGATCAGCTGAAGTTCCTCCAGTGGCTCAGTCCCAGAGTTCAGAGCTGGCTTGGTCAGAATCAAACCATAAATAATAAATGGCTCCTGTGTGCCAATCACATCACTGAACACCATCAATGGCCTGTGCTTTTTTTACTGTGCAGCCCAGAGGGAGCAGCGCTCTTCCAGGTATCTGCAGCCCACATTTTAGTGGTATCTATAGAGATAAGACCTGCTGAACCTCTGCAGCTCCAAACAATGATGGAGGTGCTCATGGAGATGCTATTTCATCAGTCTTTGACCTSAGAATGTCACCAGTGACTTTAACACAACACATTGGTGCTGTGAGATGGAGACTCAAAGACACAGCGGCTGTTCATCACATTTGATCACAAGTTTTTGAGTGCTTAATTTCTAAGAGTACAAAAACTTAAATATATAGGCATTTCTGCACATTTGGATCTAACTAGACTGCTGATCCTTTCCTTTCTCCCTCAGATTTTTGCTGGGGATAATATTATATTTGACCGTCAAGAAGGGTTAGAAAAATCGTGTATCATCAGTCCACAATTCATCACAGCCAATTTTCAATCAAGCACTTGTTTACTCTGATATTTTTATTACATTACTGCACACATTATTAATGTTGCTTTCAATGTAAACAATTTATATTTGTATTAATGATGGTTTAAAAAAAAGTGACTCCACTGTAATGTTTCAGAATAAAGTTGACATCACAAGTTGACAAGGCCTGAGATTCTTAAGATGAAATGCCACAATGTCAGTTTGACAAAAATGTTTGTTTGCAGTTATGCTCTGCATGATTGTTTATTAAAAAAGTTCATGAGCCAAGAAGACTTGATGTACTCCGTGCTATTGTATTATGTAGGAGAAGTTGCTGTACTTCAGATCCTGGAGAAGGACAGAAACCTTGAATGAGGACAGGAACACCAAGGGTATAAATGTCTCCTGGCCCAAGGTCTGCARTAGGCAGTGACAGTGGGAGTTAAAAACTCTTGACCTGCAACTCCATAGTTCTCTGTAAAAGACTTATTTTGCTAGATTTGAAACAGACCATGTCAGTCAGTGTCAGACACAGGTAAGGATATTAGATGGTCTGCTGGTCTTTCATGGTATCTGACTCATGGAATCATATCATAGAATTGTGGAATGGCTTAAGTTTGAAGGTACCTTAGAGACCACTTAGCTCCAACCCCCTCTACCAACCCTAGATCAGGTTGCTCAAGAGCTCCATCCAACCTGTCCTTGAACACTTACAGGGATGGGGGAGCCACAGCTTCTCTGGGGAACTCATATCAGTGCCTTGCTACCCTCTTGGTTAAGAATTTCTTCCTAATATCTAATCTAAATCTCTCTTCCTTTAGTTTAGAACTGTTTGCCTTTTTCCTATCAATATGGACCCATGTAAAAAGCTGCTTTCCCTCAAAAGATTATAAGATTATAAAGCCCCCTTTAATTACTGGAAGTCACCATGAAGTCTTCCTGGAGTCTTCTCTTCTTCAGGCTGAGCAGCTCCATTTCTCTCAGCCTGCCTTCATAACAGAGATGCTCGATCCCTTGGATCATCTTCATGGCTTCTGCTGGACCCTCTGTAACAGGTTCACATCCTGGCCCAGGAGCAGCACTTTGCCCTTGGACTTGTTCAGCTGCATKAAGTTCTCATGGGTCCAATTCTCAGGCTTATCCAGGTCCCCCTCTGTGACTGCTTCTCTGTGGTTTGGTGCAGCCAGAAAGATCTGTCATTTGTCTTCATCTCTGTGGAAGACTTGTAATATGTGGTGATTTAGGGCAGCCAATGAAACAACAGTCTGTGTGTGACACTGATGCTGTAATCGGTTCCTTAAGACACTGAGAACAACTCAAAATGGGATAAATTTACACTGGCACATGATAGTGATTGACTAAAAAAGGAAACTTTAATGATAACCAGTTAAAAACCCTCATCATTAAATTCTATAAACTAGTCACTAGGGGGATTTTAGGTAGGCCAGACTGTTTTTTTCTGTCAGCAAAATTCCTTGTTACAAATTTTGTTAACAAGCTTTTAGGGTTGATCGGGGCAATTTCTTTCCTTTGTCGAGTTGAAATCCATGCTAGCTGCTTGTTAGGGAAGAAAAACATAATTTTTGTTGTGACTACAGTGACTCTGATACCACTGTGTGATGTTTACCGGGGCTGCTGAGCCCAAAGCAAAGATTTGTACACTGCTTGCAAAACTGACTGTAGCGTGCAGGGCTCTTGGGAGGCAAACCTAGAAGCCAGATGAAGTATAGTATGTCATGATTTATACTCAGTGTGGGTTATCCTCTCCATTAGAGGCAGTCACAGGCCAGGGATGCAGTTCAGATCTTTCTACTCAAGCCTATACAAAAAGGTAAACATTTGTCAGACTGTGCTTTTAGAAAATGTAGTTARCAACTAACACTAAGCTGCTGTACAMAGCACCCCAGAACATTCAGATGYCTGTGCTAAAATAACCCCAGCTCCACCACTGCCTAGGGCTGTAGCTCTAGTACTCTCTATCAAGCATTATTTATGTGGTGCAAATGTGCTGCACAATTCCTGCTGTTTTGTTTGCGTTTTGTTTGTTTCTCTTTTCCTGATGACTCGTGTTCATGAAATAGTTGACCACTTCTGTCAGAGATCCTTAGGAGACAATTATTATATTACAAGATTATAGATGAATGTTGCATTRTTTAAGCCCTAATAGAGGTCCTGGTATGGGATAATTCAAGCTCTTGAGCACCCTACAAATCTACCAATGTACTTGACAAATAGATCTGGTGATCACTAATCAGTAGTGTSTAAGTTGTCTACTCAAAGTAATTAATGTAAAACCTATTATAAGTCCTAATATTCATTTGGTCACATGAAAATTCAGGTTGGAAAGGGCCTCAAGAGGTGTCCAGTCCAATCCCCTGCTCAAACAAGACTCAGTTGTGAGATCAGACCAAGTTGCTCAGAGCTATAGAGATTGGCCTTGAAAACCCCCAAGAATGGAGAGTGCCCAGTGTCTGTGTGCAATTTGTGCCACTGCTGGACCAGAAYGGGGAAAACATTTCCCCTTAAGTCCATTCTGAACCTCCCTTGTTTCAAAGTCTGCAGTTCCTTCTTCTCCAACTCTGTGTTGCTGTGCACAGCCCAGACCATTTCCCTGATGCTGTGCTCATAGGTTCAGCAGCTGCTGCTGAGTCCTCCCAAAACCACTCCCTCTCCAGGCTGAAGCAGCCACATCTCCCAGGCTTTGCCTGCAGTGCAATCACTCCTGCCCCTATCATCGTGGCTGTCCTACACTGGGATTGTTTTACTTTKTCAACATCTTTCTTATGAGTGAGACAAAGATAAGACTCAGCTGTCGAAGGTGTCTGTAATTGGGGTGCTGACCTTCAACACTTCTGTGGGAATACTTAAACTAAAGCAATCAGAAATAGTGATGTGGTCATTCCTTAAGTCAGTGCACAAATTTGCTCTCATTTGATTTACAAAATAAGATTTGAAAAGTGACAGTGCAGTTTTGTCCCTACAAAATGATCATCTCCTGGAGTTCCTGTACAGTATCAGAAATAGAAATGAGAGCTCCCAGCTATGTGTCACGATGACAGCTCACAAAGCCCTCAGTTCAGTGGTAACAGAAACCTTTAAAAACACTTCTTGTCAATAAAACTCCTTAAAAGCTTTCATAATAAATCCTGGAGGGTTTCCTTGCATAGAATGTGGCACTTTCTTTTTCTTGAAAATTAACTTTCTAGTGAGTGGCCTACTTGCTGAACTTCTAAACATTAAAGTCAGTGAAAACTAGGGGGATGGAGGGGCAGGAGATTACTCACAATGGAAGAACAGGCTTACCCGAGGGTAGTTTTGTGTTAGAAACCACTAGCCTAGAAGTAAATTGATTTGGTAGAAGAAACAAGAAAAGCAAAGGAAGAAAACCTACATTTTAAATTACTTTYACTTTCAGGTAGCTCTAAGTGACAGTAGCAAAAAATTATGCAGCTCTCTGTTTGACATTTCAAATGTCTCCACTTCAGCTCTGCATTTGTCCTGGTTGTATTTGCTTTTTATGAAAATTCCAGAGAATGCTTTTGTTTGTAGGAAAGTTTGCCATCATCCTTTTTGATATTCCCAGATGYCTGAGCAGTGCAGATTGAAAGTCATGATCAGCTATTTGCACCCAAAACTTGCTTTGAAGACTAATACTGTCCAATGTGAAACAGAAATGGCACCATATGCTCTCTGTAGCCAATAAAAGCACATTCATGTTTTTCATATCATTTTTAATATCATCAAAATAGAGACATCTTCAATGATAGAAATACAATAAACCCAGCTAACTAACTATATTTCTGAACTGAGCATTTTAAAGGGAACCCTTACTATTGGCTGTAAATCCTRCAAGATATCAAGAATGAAGACATTTTCACCTTTGCAGACTATTCCGGATTTCACATAAGAGTGGTGCTTTATGTTCCCCAAAATTTTTTCCCTTAAATTTTCTCTGTATTGTTGTGCATTCTCAAGTTGCCTTGTTCTTTCTCAGTTTGTTTTTGGAGACAAAGTAGAGCTTTTCTTTCTATGCCCTTCCTTTCTTTTCATAGCAAGCTTTATTTTCTTGAGGATTTTTTTTGTTGTTGTTTTTTGGGTTTTTTTAACACTGTTTCTGTTTACTTGGGATGTATTTTTCCCTTGGACTGTTTTCCCCCCTTCCCAATTATATCTTTTTCTTTCATGCTGTTTTCCTTTGCTCTGGCTTTCCGTTTCATTCCCCTGCTAGTGTGTTTGTTTTTCAGATTCTGAAGCTTCTTTAGGCTATGACTTCTATCAGCCTCTGGTTCTGAGAGGAGCGGTGCACAATGGACGGGTCCTGTGGGATTGATGTTTCAATGCACTGAGAATGCACCGAGGACTCAGGCAGACCTAATCATATTGCACAGTTTGATTGCAGTGTGATTACCCCTGGAAGAAGGGTTGTTTTCTTTCTCCCACCGCAGAGAGCTGGGTAGTCAGCACTGAATAAGAGAAAATTTGAATGACATCAGACAATTGAAATACTTTCTAAATAATGGATCCACATCCTGGCTATACAAACTAAAAATGTATTCCTATTGTTGTTGAACTCCTCAGGAGCCATACAGAGTCCTCAGAAAGGCCCTTTCACATGGGAGCAGATGTGCAAAAGGAAGCATTTATAGGAAATTAACTTTTCCCCCCCMGAGTTCTAGAGACAAGATGAAAAAAGGCAGCATGGGAACATACACCATAGTAACTGCCCTAACTCAGAAATGAGCTTTATATAAATACACGCAGAAGAACAGATGCTTAGAGATGCATAGGTTATGTCTTATCCTTATTTTAAYTTGAAGCAAAGCTTAGATCCCCTCCTCCTTCCAGGAAAACAGAAGTTAAGAGGGGAAAAAAGTACTATTAGAAAAGAAGTCTGTTATTTCTGTCAATAGGAAAGATTTCTTTTAGAGGTGGTTTTGTCTTGAGCCCCTGTGRTCTGCATATGCACATTTAGACCTTAGGTCTCTGGCCTAAACTCAGGGATAAAATACCATGCAAGAAATGAGAAGGCACAGATCACTCCTTGTCACCACCAGCACGCTACAGCATTCCCATGAAAAGAGGGGAGAGGAATGCAGAAACAAGGCAGAAAGGTGCTGGTAGGATGAGGGTAACCTTGGTAAGACCTTATTATTACACACAGTGGGAGAATGGTCCAGTAGCTAATGAAGCAGCACAGAAGTTAAAATACATTATTTTAATTCTCTACTCCATTACCCACTGTTACAGCAGTGATGGGAAAACCACAAGATTCTCTGTTTCGACAATATTTGGGTGCCTGACTGATACTAATTTCAAGTGAAATGAAACACATAAATATTTTTCCAATATCTCAAAATTGGCACCAGCCTTTCCACTTCTGGAACAAAGGCTGCTCTGCCTCTTCTTAGGGGTACTTGGGAATGAATGTGTCAGGATTTCATAGAGCTGCTCAGCATTCTCAGCATGCAGCTGGTGGAGATTGTGTTCAGCATCTTGGGTGTCTTGTAGGAAGTACAGCTACRTGTGTAGACACCAGGCACGAGCAGGCAGACTTGTCCTTGGTACCAAGCTCTCCCAGACCTCCTCCCACACACCTTTCTAATGGGCACACTCTGACCAGGTAAAATCTACYTAACAAATACCAGCTGCCTTCAGCAGAAGACTTCTGGGTTCTTCCAGGAAGAATTTCAKGTTATTCATTCCACCTACCTGGCATCAGTTAAATAATCCTGTAAGGATTCCTGAGTAAGAGGAACTGACAGTGCCAGCAGGCTATGCTGGGGACTGTCAGTGCTGCCTCTGCTGTACCCTGTATCACAGTGTGCATGCAGAGAGCACTGATCTTCCAACCAGAAGGTCACTCACAGCAGAAAGCAATGTAAGAGGTTGGATCATCTGGCTTTGAAGCCATTCACAGCCAAAAGAATATCTGCAGGCTGTGCAGCAAGGCAGGCTGGGGCAAAGCCAAGTGCTTTTGTCACTAATAAATTTGTGGGCAACGAAGTAATATCCAACTCTTACTTCATCTGGCTCCTGTCTCACAAATGTCATAGTTTTTTAGGAGAAACTGAAGTTGAGAAGCAGCCCTCAATTTTTTGACAGTTTTTGTGATGAAACCTCATCAGATTGCTCATCRAGCTTACCATTCAATGCAGGAGGGAGGCATGGTTAGGGAAGCTGATGGGACAGATCCCATAAATGACAAAAGGAGTGAGGTGGAGGAGCTACTCAGGATGCTGAGGTGGGAGGTCAGGTCTGCATCCTCTCTGACAGGAAGGGCAGTGGCAGTCCATGAGGATTGGTCCTGCTGAAGGCCTGCAAGATCACCAGAGGGACCAGAGACAGAGATCATCCCCCAGGAAACTGCTACAGTCAGAAGAGCCATTCACGCCTTCTACATTGTTTTTTTCTCCCCATCTTATGGAAGCATTCTTATATTGGTGATTTCTGTGATTTATTGCTAAACTTGGAGCTGAGGGGGTTGTCACGAATTTAACACTTTGACATCACTGTGACTTTTATAGGAGCAAGGAGGTTGTAAAGAAAAAGCTCAACTCCACTTTCAATGAGGTAGCTATGGTATATTAGGAAAAAGAGTGAGACACAGATAAAATTCATGTGACAAATAAATGGGTATTTCTATGAGAGTGTTCAAAAGAATTTTCTTTGCAAACAAGATAATCTTAAAATGACCATGCTGGGAATCACAGTTTAAAATAAATAGTAATAAAATTTAGAATTTATTTGTGAACATCCAAGTATTTTATGCTTTTTCATAAACACTGTGAGCACAAAAAATGAGAGTTCATTCATTTTCTGAGTATTTTATTATTGCTTTTCTAGAGCACCTGGGTTATTTCTTCATTCTGTTTAAGACSCTTCATCATTTCTTTATCTAATCTCAGAACCACATGGGATCCTACTTCCACTAATCTRTCTTACATGCTTAGTGAAAGCTGATAGTAAGATAGGGAGAGGAGCTAAAGACATTATTTTAATGAAAAGCAATGATCAAAATATTTGGTGCACTGTTTGGAATAAAAAATAGAGCGTACAATATAAAATGCTTCACTAATACTAACTATGTTGACTAGAAAATGTATCCATAATAATATACATTACCTCCTTGGCCACCACAGGGACAATTTGCCACATGGGTGCTGTTCAGGTGTTTCAGCAAGATCCCRGAATGACAAACTACAAGACAACCCTGAACAGCGTTTGTTACAAGCTACTCYTTCAACGTGAGACTGCACATACTGATTTCTTTTTAAATGGATTTGGGTTGCCTCTGGTTGTACAAAGAGATTGATTCCTATGAAGTGAGAAAGCTCTGCTGTATCACTTTGTAGGACTGACATGACAACGTGACAGACATGGCTTCATATGAACACATTGCTTATTAGATTSTGAGCAAAGCTGAACGCTGTCATGTGCAGAGCACATTTCCTCTCTAAAAGAACACTCRGCTGTGCTGGGAAGCAGTCAGAGAGAAATAAGAGAGATCCCTGGGTGTGAGCCACAGGAGTGATACACGGGGGCTCTAGGTGAGGATTTTCCTCACTCAATGTTGTGTCTGTCCATATTTAGTCTTCTTTTATATGTAGATCTTTGTCATGTTTTTTCAGTCAAAAATCTCAAAAATCTACTTAGGTTACTAAGGATAATTTGTCCCTTAGATATTTAAAAAGAGCTAATATAAAACAGGACAAATATATTTGCAAGTCAGCTCTTTGTCTTTGGAAGGAAGCTGGAACTCCATGAAAGATGTATATTACATGTCAAAACCCAGGAGATAATTAATTCATAAAATTAGCTATTCAGAGAAGCTGCTTAGCAGAAAACGATCTACTACTAGATATTAAAAAAAAAAAATCTTGCACAACATAAGTTTCAAATCCTACCTTTTACTGGAACTGAATCTAGTAGCCCTTGCTGGTGCCTTCATTGCCTGGGGACCTGAGGCCAGGGCTCTGMTGTGCCACCTGCACCACTGCCCCTGCCTGGGGACAGCCTTATCCCCTCCTTGGCAGACTGCAGCTCTCTCATTCCCATCTCCAGGCACCTGAGTCCTCGTGGCTTCACATTTTCTTCTAGATTATATTTTGGGGCGTAACACCTAAGGCCCAGTTAGAAGCAGTTAGAGGCATATCTAGCCTAATATCAACATGTCAGTGCCATCTAACTGAGTTAATTAACTGAAGCATTCTGTCACTCTGATGTGGTTATGTTGCTCCTGGRTGCAGAGCTCACAAGCTTGCAGTTATTTCTGATCCCTGCATCTCACTCCCTTGTGAAGTTGRATAGACTCTACCATTAGTCTGAGCCAAAGATTTTGCTTCTGCATCTTACTTAAGTTAGYTTTTCTATTATTTATTTCCTTCACTGAGGTACACATCCTCATGAACATACACCCTCATTATTGTCCTGTTCTTGTAGAAAACCTTCATCAGGATCTCTGCTGCTTATAGATTTATATAAAGGACTCCTGAGTGTTGAGTWAGAGATCAGGTGGTTACTCTGAGGTGAGTAACTAACAGCAGTGCCACTGTTACACATAACTAACAGAAGTGAGACCTTTGGGTCTCATCTGCACTCCCATGTAGTTTACCCTTGTTGCCTTCAGTGTGTTTGGAATGGGATTTTATTGCAGTGACTCCAACCTTCAAACTCGCCACTAACACTGCCACCACCACCACCTTTGAATAACTAGCTCTGAGAAATGCAGATGGGATCATTCACTAAATTGCCCCTTATTTTCTAGGAGTATTTGTTATTCAYTGGTATTTTCTGAATAATCTGAGTGAGTAACATTCAAGCTATGGGCTGCTCACAAACCATCCATTCACGCTATCAATGTTCATTACTCTTGTTATGTGACTTGGCTGCCTAAGTTTCTCCTCTTTGATTTTTAAGCAGAAAAATAACAACAAGGAAATATGACCATGATTTTTCACAGCAAGCATAATTTTTACTAAAAATAACTATTTCAAAACATGTGTTTTGAATAATACCTGAGAGGATCTGTGTTGTCCTCTGAAAGGACTTACACCCTCCTCGGCCCCCCCCAGCAACCTTGCATTGACAATCTCACCAAGTTTACCACCCAGTGGTGGTTTTTCACTTTMTTCAGGTCTGAAAATATTTGTTGATGTGAGGCCACTAAGAAATTGTTACAAATATATATTAGCAGCATGCATGCAGCTCTCTCTGCAAAATTAAGAAAAACTTGTGTGCTCTCAAGCTCCTCTGCTTTTTTTCTTCTCACTCCATTAATCTAATAAAATATGTTGTCTCTCCTTAGAAACTGTATTCTCTTTCTGAGGGAACAGAAGGAAGCCCGGGTATTTGCATATTGAACAGAATAGAAATTGTTGCATGATGTTCCCCAAAGAGCAGATGAAAATAGGAGCATTTGTTTGCAGCTGCCAGTGGAACAGAGATATGAAACTTTGTTAGTACTTTGCCAGAAACTGGAAATCAGTGGGGAGCAAGAACCCTGAGGGCTSTTCCTGACACATGGAGCAGATGAATGGAGGAGGCAATAAAATTAGAGAAGCCATGAAATGTTTGGAAATAGCAAGAAACTAGCAGGCATTACAGGTCAATGCTCTGGACTACCAAATACACTGGAGAAAGGGAAATGACAAATTCTGAGTAGAAATGAGCTGTAAGAAAGTTGTGAGGTTCTAGGGTTTTTCCAATTCAATGTGTTTCMGATGAAGTACAATCAGAGAATGCACAAGGATGTAGCCAAAACTGTTAGGAAATAAAATTACCCCAATTAAAAATCTGCATCAGATTCTGGGTTTGAAGGGGTTGAAGAGGGAAGGGGTCTGGTTCCAGTTACTCAGAGCAAGAAGAAAACTAAAAGTGTGTGAAAAAGTGGCGCAGCAATGCATCCTTGGCAGTTAGAATTGATTCGATACTGAAAACATATATTCCCTGTGACGTGGATGAGAAGCTGGGGAGTAGGGTAACAGAAATTAGATAAAAACTGGATGCTTTGAGAAATATGAATATGCTGTGACAAGCCAGGGACCATAATTTGTTTGCTGTCCAGAGCAGTTCCTGCCCAAAGGAGAGGATGTGAAGGCACCCAGTGCTGTGACACYGTGAGCCTGTGGCTCAGCACCGCTGGCAGAGAATTGCTTCTGGTGCTCACATGCTCCTTCCTMTTCTTCAGCCAACACTACAGCCAGTGACTGCTCCTCATTTTCCAGGTAATCCTCCATCATTGTCCTTCACTGCTGCAGAGTGACCCTGACTCAACTGAAAAACGAGCCACTGTTAAACTTCATAAAGTTTGAGGTGGATACCAACTCTCTACACTTTTGTTGCCATTACAYGCAGTACAGGAGGTTTTAAAGGAACTGTCCCATCTTGTTTTCATGATATGAGAATCTATTCTTTGTAGAAATGTTTGTCTTACTGCCTGGGGAAGTGACAAGACTTTATGAGCTGATTTCTACTCCAGACAAGSTAAGGACCTTGTTTCTCTCAGTCTTGTCTCAGCTGAAATATATGGCATAATTCAGTTTTCATCTACCTAAATTTGATGGCAACCTTAGAGATATCAGTGTAAAGAATGTATTAAYACAGCTTTAATATAGCTTCGTATCACCATCTAAATGATCTTAAAWGAAAACTGTACATATACAAGCAAAACCTGAATGGAGAAGATGTGCAGAAAAATGCTCAATGATGTTGTCATGACAACAATGAAAGTCAGTAGATTACCACTTAAAAGCATCTGCAATTTGAAGCTTTTCCTGGGAAAAAAAAATGGAAGCTGACTACTGTTACACGTGATGGATTTATAAGAGTGAAGTGTATTTCCTTTCTGAAASAAACTGTACCATATCTAAAAAATTTTATGTTGATATAATTGAAGACTAAAAGAGGCAAGAATTCACATTCCCAGCAAATAGACTGAAATAAAGTAGTTTCTAAATTTACTAGAAACATAATTTCCCATATAAACCTGAAAGTTTTCATGGAGAACTGCCATTGAAYGCATTCTAAATAAATACAAGAATTATTCTGAAACTGAGTGGTTCCGAATTCTTTAAGATCGGTTTGCACAGAAGTGTAGAGATTTCAAACAGCCAAAAATATTCAATTTACTTAGCAATCTGATATCAGATAAACATGGAAAGCAGAAAGTCATTTTAACCAGAACTCACTTGCCATGAAGATTGTGCAGGAGACAGACCTTGCATCGCACAAAGAATTTTGTACTTTCAATCTTGACTTGGTTCTGAATCTAAATATAATAAAATATAGAAAGGAAAACACTGAAAAAAGAATTCATTTCAGTTTTATAAAAGCACTTCCATTTACTTTTACCTGTTTTATTTTTCCCCTTTGCTTCATGAGTAATTCTCTCCCCTATCCTTGGCTATGTGTGCATCAGTGATCTGTCTTAACCCCTGGCTATTTATTTTCYCTTCCTAATCTCTTTATTTAACTGATCACTCACCAGTTCAGTTATTGCTCTTACTCTGATACCATTTTTGTCAAAGCTCTTACACACTTTTRTATGTCTTGTTCCATCACCAGCTCTCCATTCTCATTCTCCTAAGTCTGGCACCTACTTTGAACCTGTCAACAGTACGCTTCTCCAAAGCTTGTGCTTTCTTCACTTTGCCTGATTTTATGTCCTGCCTTAGAGCAAAACAGTCCTCTGTTGTTAGAGCAAATTCTCTTTCCTTCTCTTGCCATCTGCAGCCAGTGTCTCAGSCTCASCCACAAACATAATTGCCACATTACWCTGRCTGGTTACACCAATTCCTCTGATAAAGCCCCCTGTGTCCAGCTGCACCAAGAGGGCTGACTTCTCTTTGTGTCCATGAGCATTGCAGTGACCACCCCTGGCACAGTTCTCATGGCAACAAAACTGAGACCCACCACAACACACTGCAAATTTCGCTTCCTGGTTCCATGGTTTTCAAAAGCCACTTTTTGTTCTAAAGTTGTCAATTGATCTTTTCCAGGTTATGGATRAACAGAAGATTATACAAGGATATAWAAGGACATCTYATCAGTTTTKCTTGGAATACTCTGAGTACTGTGCTATGGCCAAGAGTTCCAGCACAACACTCTTAAAACCCAAATTCACAAAATAGAGAGAAAAAGGAATATAAAAAGAAGGTACTTACCTACATAGTCACATAGCAGGTCTGTAGCTGAGTGCTTTACAGACTGCCAGAATCTTGAACTACTGACTCATACACAAGGAATATAGTTCTGTACACACTGATTAATGTATTGTCTTACCAACTCTTTACAAAGCTAAGGAGAATWAAAAAAAATAATTTTAAGCTTCCATAATCCATTGCTGAAAGCATTTTTGGAAATAAATTCCTGGTTTTAGCATTCATTTTATGCCACAGCTCCTTCAGGGATAGATTTGCAAAAATGCCCAGGTATCTAATGATGTTGACAGATTTCCAATTACATTTCTAAAAGATAGAATGTCTATAAATTCCGTCATGCAGATCTCTGTAGCATTTAGGGCCTACATTATTTTCCTTTGCTCTACTATTGATTTTTTTCTTTTATTTTTTTTTTTTTTTAATTTTGTCTTTTTTTTTTGCAAATATTACATAACTCCTGAAAGCAAAGTAGTCTTAGAACACTGAACTGGGCTGTCAGAAAACCTGAGAAGAAATATGTACAGTGGACCCCTCCCTATCAGGAGAAAGAAATCTTACCACACAAAAGTAAGACATGGTTAGAGGACTGACATGTATACTTCACTGCTGTGCCAGGGCTCTAGAGGGTTGAGTTCCCTAAACTGGAGGTGTGGATGATCAAATGTTACGAGCAGGTCCTCAGTTCACTTGCTGTAGAAGGTTTGCATGCAATTTTCTACCATGGTGCATTATGTATGGTTGTTCTGCCTTCTTAAGCAAAGGCATTGTGTCAAAACTCATTGCTGTCTGTGCTACCTAGTGGTCCACATTTTTAGTCCTAGTTGCCAAGAACTGCATGGATCAAAGGAAGCATCTTGGCCCCCCACAGAACTGAGATACCAGTGGCTTCAAGCGAAGGTTTGCATGGT